GGTTTCTTCCAGTGGTATTAGTAACAGATCGGGTGCCAATTGATAAAGGGTCAACATTACGCTTTCTTTTTTTGGATTTAGATGAATCCTGGATACTAGAGGTAGTAGTAGACGTGGTAGTTTGGGGATTACATGATGAAAGACATGTAATCTTATCTGGCATATATAAGGCAGGATCTAATACAGGTGGTAATTGCATAAAATCACCAACAAACATGATGTTAATTCCGGCAAAAGGAACTGAATCGTCTGTCGCTTTTAATTTTTTCATAAAAGTGTGAAATTGAGTTAGGAGATTTTGACCGATTATAGAAATCTCATCTATTATGACATATTCTATTTCAGACCATAATTCTTGAAGCTGTCGCAAAGATTCTTCTGTTAAAGCAGATGGTTTTTTACTATTTTCGCCAAAGCCAAATCCACATGCAGAATGAATAATACTACCATAAACATTAGCAGCAGCAATACCAGTAGGGGCTAATATAAGAAGTTTATGGCGTTGTAAAATGTGTTCAAAATATGAACAAATTGCATGAATTACTCTAGATTTGCCAGTTCCACCAGTACCAGCAAGGTAAAGTAATAATTGTGACAGTCTATATTTACTTGTTGGCTGATTTCTTTGACGATGATCACATACGAGGAAATAAGCTTTTTTTTGCTCTGCATTTAAACCATATGCAAACTTTTCTAATGGATCTATAGTTTCATCCATTATAGTAAAGTCCAGAGGAGTATTATGATTATTCGATGAAGCAACAAAGGTATTTAGTAGAGGCTCATTTTCAAAGATAGGAATATTGTTATGACGGAAAGTTGTTTTGTGTGAAGTTATAGTATTTTGCCACATTTTCAAAAGATTATCGTCATTACTATCACTTGAGCGCATAACATTTGGGTCAAGATTATTAATATTGATTGAATCATTTAACCCTGTCAAATTTGTGTAGTTTTTTGTAAGAAATCTTCCACGAATTCGTAAAATGTTTATAGCAGTATCAACTGTTCTGACGTTTTTTAGACCAGACCTAATAATAGCAGCTGGGTTAAAGGTTACCGTATCATTAGAAGCATTAACAATATCCTGTTCATTGTCATTATCATCAAAAAGATCAGTTAGATCTTCTACATTATATCCAGGAGATGAACGATCAATTCGGCGAGCTTTAGCAAGAATCGGATTACTCGATGCACTTTTTCTTAATTCACGATCTAAAAATGTTTCTTCTGCACACCTGTGTAATAATTCAATATTTGAAATTATATACCTTATACGAGGAGATAAAGTAGAGCTATCTAAAAATGCTTGGCATGCTTCAGACTATGAGTTATAGTCCTCACGAAGATCTTGAACTGTTTTCCATGGTTTAAACAACATAAGGATGTTTAACCCATATAATTCAGCATTTTCTACATCATCCTTCTTAGGTATGCCTTTACCACACAACACAACTATCCTTTCAGTACCTCGTCTTCTACGAATTTGAATATGAGTTTTATTCTGAGGATGCATATTAATAGATTCAGAATCAAGGTTATCATTTATTTCGTATCCTTGAAAATAAAATCGTTCATTTCCTTCCCTAGGATGCTGACCTGATAATATTAAACGTTCATGCGAGTTTATTGGGCCTTTTGAATGCATGCAGCATAATCATATAGGCAGATATTACGTATATACATGGGTGCCGAAATTCAGAGGGATTTACGGCATTATGGCATGCCGATATTTTTTATATTTTCGGCATGCTAC